TCAGTAAATTCGAATAACGCGCGACAAAGTTATGTGTCGGGATGATAAATCGCGATTATTTTATTCAGTCTTGCATTAAGACACGTGTGGCGACACTTCGTGTTCAAGTTCTATATGGGAAAACATATGCATACGCAATGTTTACTATTTACATCTAAATACATCGTCATAAGCTGCTCTTGACGTTTATAGGATACTTTAGCTCCAGTGGATGCAAAAAATCTATATTGAAATATCGATTGCTATTTGTTTTTGTATTTTTATCCCTGTATTTTATCTGTCAAATCATGTAGAGGATAGAGATCCGTAATATAATATATATAAACGTGCGATTTTATTAGTCAACGATCTTTGTAATCAAATTGCTTAGTTTTGTGAATATGTAGAATATATACAGGGTGTCTTACAACGTGATGTCCATATTTCGCTATAACTTTAAAACAATCGAAGTCTTAATACACTTGTGTCTTAAACTTTTTGACTTAGAATGACACCAAGAATCAAAATACACTGTTTCAGTATGGACATCACGTTGCGGAACACTTTGTATATAATATAATGAAGTTTTTTCTTAAAAAGTTTAGTTTAGTTTAGTTTGAGGAATAAACATTTAAATTTTATTGATTTGAAATTCTGTGTAGCGTGTCTCGGATACTGGCGGATTTTGGGAAAAGAAGGGGTTAACCAAACTTTTCTCTTCCAAATTAAAAGAAATAATTAAACTAAGAAAAAATAGGCCAACTAAACAAGCTTATATTTGGATGTTAAATGGTTAAAAACTTACTACTATAATATAGTCTTGGAAAATATCATATTTTCATTAAAAAGTAAACGTTTCGACTCTGTACTCATTGTCAGTCTTTTTCAATACAGTAATTTACAAAAAATATATAAATATTTGTGAATTGTCCGATTATTTATTTGCAAAAATATTTTTATTATCTTACGTATTTTCGCTATTTTATCTGTGTCGATTATTTATGAAAATGAGATATTCAGTTTTCAATGTTATGACGTTTGAAAAAATAAAAGTTTTTTTAATAAACATTTTTTTAAAAAACAAAATTTTTAAATAAAAATCAAGTTTTATCACATCCTTGTCATTGACTCTGGAATAGAAGCTAAACGTAAAATCCAGAAAAGTATCAAATCAAATAAAATTTTGCAGAAATTCCTCCATTATCGACTTCAGGATCCGTTAGTAGCCTAAGATATGGTTAATTATTAATTATTTATTATATTGTTATATCTATTATTAGTCAAAATATATAAATATTTTGATATTTTGTACATTGAATATTTTGATTAAATACTGTTATCGCTATATAATAACATGGAAAATGGTCAATTTACCCCTATGATTTCAATGTCTGTTTTAACATTCTTAACATTCTTCATCATTATCTTAAGAATAAATAGATTTCTCACTTTAAATTATTTAAGGCTGATGTGTGAACATTCAACATTTAATTTAACATTTTTAACATTCTTCTATTATTATTATTTTGAAAGTTAAATAGAGATTTCTCATTTAAAATTATTTAAAACTAATATGTAAACATTCCAGATTTAACATATAAACATATTTAATTTAACACGTAAACATGTTAATGTTTAATTAAACATTCTTAAATCATTCTTCTGTCATCATTATTTTGAAAGTAAATTGAGTTCTTTAAACTATTTGTATATCGAAAATTAAATTCGTAATATAACTTATAAAAAATATAATTATATATATTTTATTTAATTATATAATTATATATTTTTTATTCTCTCGCTTCATATACTCATGTATAAAATTAAAATCTGAATTCGTCAAGAGAAAAAAAAGAAAAATAAATATAATAACGCGCCTGCTTTTCGTGGCACATTTCCAATGCAGGAAATATCATTTGTAAAGCTTATAGGATATCACTTTGAGCTTGAGCCACGGACGACGACTCTTTGTCATTGATCTCAATTAATGCTTGAGATTAATTAAAGCCGGACAAGACGGCGCGATGTCGAGACATTACATATATCAGAGTTGGGTAATAATTAGTTAATTAATTAAAAGTAAAAAAAGAGTTAAAAAGTTAATAACTTTTAACTTAGCATAGTTAATTTAAAATGTATTAATTTTCAACTTCAACTAGTTATTTTTATTTTAACTTTTATTCTAAGTTACATTCTTTTATCTCTGAATATTATTGTATTTTTATAAATTATAAATGTATTATTTTAAAATTAAAGTATTATTAATTTTTATGTTTATTTGTCATTAATTGTAATTACTAAAAAATATATTTCTATATAAAAATAAAAATTTCTTTGTTATTTGTTATTATAAATTTTAAGAATTAACAAACAGTATTTTAATTTAATATAACTAATGTTTTTAAAAATTAACGTTTGATTTAACTTCAGTTCATTTAATCTTAACTTAACTTTAAAGTTATTTTTTGTTCATGCAACTTTTAACTTAACTAAATTAATTTTATAAGCAACTATAAAAAAATATATAATAGTATTTAGTATTTTTAGGTAGTATTTAGTATTTAGTATTTAGTATTTTTAAGTTATATAATAGTATTTAGTATTTTAAAATAGTATTATAAAATTAATAGTATTATAAAATTTAAATAGTATTATATAATATAAAATAGAGGTAATTCTAATAAGAGAAAAATACTATTTAAATTTTATAATACTATTAATTTTATAATACTATTTAAAAATACTAAATACTACTTAATAACAGAAAAAATACGTTATTATTAAAATTGAAATGCAGAAGTTGCTATATATGAAACATATCTGTGATGATGATTTTAATATTTTTATTCATTTGAAACATTATTTATTTTTATAATAAGAAAATATATTTTGTCTTACAGCCTTTTATTTTTTAATATAATATAGTCATGTACAACTTTCGTCTGAAACATTTTCTTCTACAATCAAAAAATAAAAAAAATTATTTAGAGCGGGACATTAAAATGGGACACCCTGTATACAATGAATTTCTCCAGGTTGTGCTAATCGATCGTTTAACGTCCACCGTCCATCTCGCTGATGACAGGATATGACATACGCGAGATTCTGCCGGATCTCTGATCATGTATTCCGATACGCGATGATGAACGTCGCCGTAAGCACAAATATTCGAAGAATATTTAAAATGTCAACCTACATTATTCTTCCTTTCTGCCTGGTGATTCGCAGTGTTTGATGCTGACGCGAAGTGTCGCGATAGCAATTTTCAGTAAGTGCGATAAAATTCTTTATAATAATTGTTGTTCCTTTGACGTTCGCGTAAAACTGAATAAAAATTTATAAATGTATGTTATTGTATATCTTGAATTATTAAATCTTCAATTTTTTGCACAACAGGTAATTGATTAAAGAACGAAATAATTTTATTCTTATTTTAATTCAACGCTTTACAAGAGAGATCCCGAATTGATAAACATAAATATTTAATATATTTTTATTTAAATTAATTTGAATTGAAAAAAGTAGAATCAATATACAGTTTTTTCTTATATAAAAGAAAGAGAAAGTATATAGAATTGATAGATAATAATATTATTATTATTATTATTATTATTATTTTTTTTGGAGAGAGAGAGAGAGAGAGAGAGAGAGAGAGAGAGGAGAGAGGGGGGAAGAGATAAGAAAGTAGGATTGATGTATAGTAGTATATTTTCTTATTTCACTTTTTTTCGACATAAGAAAATAGAATGGATATACAGTACCCAGGTAGCAAGCTGACGTCATAAAACGTCAAAATGACGTCATCGACGTCAAAATAACGTCATTTTGACGTCAAATGACGTCAGCTTGCTACCTGGATAGTTTTTTTATAGAGAAGAAAGTAGAATCGATAAATAGTACTATTTTTTAGGGAAGAAAATAGAATTGAGAGGAGATACTATAGCGCTGGAATTTATTGACAACTTATTTCGACCAGATTTGTTAACATACTGCTCTCCTCTTATTGGCGCATAGCAGTGCATCCTCGAACGTTCGTAATTAAGAAGTGTGATATTTTATTTCAGGGATGCGCATATCCCAAGTAGAACAGAAAATCAAAATAATATCATTTTGACGTCATTGATCAAATTTGGAGTTCAAATTTGGTCAAGATGACGTCAAATTGACATTATTTTGATTTTCTGTTCTACTTGGGATCAAACATGTAATATGTTAATAGCAAAAATTATTATTAAAATTTTTTATTTAATATATTTAATATATTTAATATATATATTATATATTATATATAATATATAATATATAAATAGGATTTTTTATTTTTTATAATCAGTTTGGTTGAAATAAAAATAAAAAAATAAAAAATTTTATTAATTTTACACTGACGATTTACTTCTATACTATAATATATAAATGTATATAAATGTAAAATAACATATAAAATATAAATATAATAAATAGTATAAAAAATATAAATATAATATAATATATACAAAATATAATATAATACATAAAAAATAATAACTATTTTTATTATCAACACAGAATAAAATAGTAAATAAAAAATTTAAATAAGCATTTTCGCAATTGAAGAAACGATCTTCTGTTTCAGGAATGCGCGTATCAAAAGTGTAACAGCGGAATGAAATATTTCGCTGTTAGACTTTTGATACGCGCATCCCTGAAACAGAAGATCGTTTTTCGTGATTACGGGCGTCCGCTGCCACGTTGCTATGACGGTAAACGGCAAGACGGGAGCGGTAGGCGTACGTAAAGAAGAAATCTGGCCGAAAGTTACCAATAAATTTCACCACTGTGTAGTGTGTATAAATACATACGTAAAAATGATAACTATGTTATCGGGTGAACTACTTCCCTCTAGATCAAACAATTAAGCGCCCACGCTTTTAAATCGAACGTGTCGAGCTGTTACATCGCGTATAATGTAAGTTTCGGGGATGCGCGCCGGAGCGGAGGGGACGAAGCAAGGAGGCTGCGAACGAGCCGGGTATAAGAGGGAGCGCCGCGCGTCGCGACGCCATCAGAACACCTGACGCGCTCGAGTCAACCCCACGAACTTGCGCGCTCCGATTTCTCTCGTCGGCAATCAGGAAGGAAGACAGAGGGAGATCTATCGCCTCTCGGAGGACGACGGGAGGAAGGGAAATAGAGCTTACAATTAGTCTCGCACGCGTTCGCGTTTTTTCATTGATCCCTTCAGTTTCTCATCCCTGAAACCGGTGTGAAAGATGTCCTCCAGTTTCATTCCCGCGATTGTAATTTTCATCGTCGTCGCCGCCTTTTATCTTGCGAGAGCAGCGATCGCCAACGATCCTCGTCAGCAACAGGTAAATATGCATAGCTCCAGATATGTCTATACGAAAATATTTAAAAAATGCATGTTATTGATTTTCGAAGACGAAAATGCATTTTTCGAGCGAAATAATTATTTTAAAAAATATCGAAGCCATTTATTTTTATCAGAATTCTTTAGAAGAGCAACGTATACACCCAGAACTGCTTTAGAATAATGAGAACTATCAAAAATTGATCGGCGTCTCACCTTAATACTCCAAAAAATGCATTTTCTAAGCGAAATTATTATTTTAAAAAATATCTTAGCAATTTGCTTATCAGAATTTTTTAGAAGAGTAACGTATACACTCAGAACTATACGAGAACTGCTTTAGACTAATCAGAACTATCGAAAATTGATCTCACCTTCAAACTCAAAAAAATACATTTATACATTTTAAAGAAAGTACAATCAATAGGGGAAAGTATGCTAAATTATATTGTTGGTTTAAAAAATCGTATCTTTATTATATTTTTTAAGCATTAAAAAATTTTAATGTTTAAAAAATAGCATTAAAAATTTTATAGTTTATAAATTTATTTTCTGATTTTTATGTAATATTCGGCACCCCGTGCCTAAACTGTGACATTGAGACAGATACGCAATTAAACTTTTTATTAAAGCATTTTTTTCACTTTATGTAACTTTCTGTACATGAAAACGTTGAAAAATCAGTAAAATATTTTCAGGTTATTTTTTTATTCACAAAAACAAAGCAATAAAAGTTCGACAAAACGTACTATCAATTTTTCCTATCGTACTAGTACGATTTACTAAATTAATTTTTTTACGTAGGCATTAATTTTGTTTTCTTTATGTTTTATATTATATTGAGATAATACTTATTTATATTTTTGTTTGATTCAAAAATATTTTTGTTAAATTTTTGAAGAGAATTTATAATTATAAATATGACATTCTTATAGATATGTTTTATGTTGCAGACTGAAAATTTTTGTAGAAACTAAAACTTTATTTTTGTTACAATTTTTTAATTTTATTGTTAAAGATACGATTTAGCAAACCTGTATTGTAATTGTACCAAATACTATAATACCTTTTTAATTTTAAATTTACTATATAATATATGTATTTGTGTTATTATTTTAGCGTACATTGTTGACAAAAGATCATAGTTTTTAAATAAATAAAAAAATTAGAAGATATAATTCAGCACACTTCTCCCTATATAAATAGTTTTTTTTAAAGAAGAAAGTAGAATCGATAGATAGTAATATTTTTTCGGAAAAAAATAGAATCTATAAATAGCAATATTTTTATGAAGAAGAAAGTAGGATTGATATGTAGTAATATTCTTCTAGTGAGAAGAAAGTAGAATAAAAATATAAGTATTTTCTTTTTTAGAAAAGGAAGTCTAGAAATTAAAACTTTGTATTTTATAATATATCGTAAAACACATATACGGCAATTATAATTTGAAAAAATGGATTTTTTGCTGATAAAGATAACAAATATAGAAAAAATGAAGAAAATAATGACCATTAGATTAATATAATGGCATGATAAAAGAAGTCACTACAACATTTTTCAATATTATCATTGTATCCATTTTGATCACCATCATAATTCAAAAAAATTCTTATTACGTTCTTTCTCGAGGAAATTTCAAAATAATTAATGAAGATAAGAATGGAATAAATGCGATAGATTTACAAAATTCTATTGCTATAAATAAATATGATATTGAAATATTTCTTAATGAGAAAAATTGAGATTATTTTAAAATCGTTAAAAATAATAACTACTTTTTTAATATACGTCACAAGAAGTCATTATAGAGTAATAATTATAATGAAGAAAATATCATGAAATATCTAAAAATTTATATTCAAATAATTATCCTGATTATAAAGTTTAATAAAAATTTTGATACAGCAAAATTATTTGATTATTTTGATATATAAAATCTCTCTTTCTTTTCTCTCTTTGCCTTTCTAAAATTAATATTTTAATAATTTAATAATTTAAATTTCAGATTCTTTAGTCTTTTTTATAGGGAAAATTTCAAAGAAAAATCAACTACGATTTATTATAATAATTCTTATTTAATGTTAAACTTGTATAAAAATTTCTTACAAAAAGATGTTTTTTTTACATCAACAATAATTATACCAAATAAAATGTTTAATTTTAATTTGCTTTATTGAGTCTTACAGCATTGTTAGAATTAAGGGTTTCTTTATTTTTTTCAGTACTGTCAATCATATTTTTAGCTTTCCTTGTCGTTTTCATCTTATTGAAAGTAACTATAGAATTCATTTAAGAATCGTTTTAACGTAACAAACTCAATGAAGATAAAATTGCCCTTATAGCAGACCGCCATATGACAGAATTATCGTAGTAGCTTCCTTTCGCAACTAATAAGAGAAGCTTCTCTCTTCCACGCTCTAAGAAAATTAATTAATTATCTAATTAGCTTCTTTTGCTACATATTTCGCTAATTTTACTGTACTTATGATAGCAAATAGTTTTGTGGAAATATATATACACACAGCACGCAATCATATTAATTCAATTTTTAATTCAATAAAATAATAAAATATTTATACACTAAAAACATTTTGTTAAATCAAATAAATATTTATTTCATTACTGCTTTATAAAATCAATAGTGTTCCGACCTCAAAGCCTGTATATACCCTTCTTTTTTATTTATATCTTTCTTCTTTGTTTGAAAGCGAATTACTACATTTATAGGCTGATTTTCGTGAAAGAGGTGCCAAAATTTTTCTCATTTCTCAGGGAGTGATCTTACGCGGCTGTTTACAGAGAAATATAGTGTTTTGTCTGTTTGACCGTGAACTTTTACATTGATGGATCGATTTTCGTGAACGAGGTACTAAAATGTTTTTAATATTACGGGGATGAATATTTATTTTTGTTTCTTTTCTCATTTTTTTCTTAATTTAATTCCAAAGAGACAGAATTGGTTGTTTCTTGATGTTAAATTAAACCAAAAAAGCCACGTAAGATCGCAGAAAATTTTGGTACCTGTTTCACGAAAATCGGTCCATAAATGTGCAAGTAAATCGCGGTTATATAGGAAGGAAATTATATATATATATATATATATATATATATGTACATACAGGATGTATAAAAAGTACCGGGACGGTAAAATATTTCGAAAATTACGCATTTTAGAAAAAAAAATGTTTCAAATAAAAGTTGTAGGGTTCACAAAAAAATCTATTTACTGATGCTATGAGTTTGACCTTGGGTAGTGTCACTAAAGTTAGAACAAGGTCACCTTGAAATTTGTAAATGAGACTCCCTATTTTTTATTGCACATTCTTGTAGCTTACCTGGAGAGCTTTCCAAAAAACTATAATAAAGTATTTTTCTATTAAGTATTTTTTGAGTCATAAGGCTTGCAGTTTACAATTGTATAAAATGTAAAATATCTTGTAAATATGCAATTTTCGGTGCTTCTACTTAATACTTTTATGCACAGAATAATGAGACCAATCAATTGTTGCAAAATTAATATTTTTTTAAAAATTATGTGTTTTCTTCACAACAATTGGTATGCATCAGTAAATATATTTTTTTAAGCCCCACAATTGTTATTTGAAACATTTTTTTTTAAATGCTTAGTTTTCGAGATATTTTACCGTCCTGGTATTTTTTATACATACATCCTGTACATATATACACATACACATATATATTTCAAACTAATAATATTGATTTAATGTAAAAAAAAATTTATTTGATATAAGAAAATCCTTTTTGAAACAGATAAATATTTATATGATTTATAAAGCAGTATTGAAATAAATATTTATTAATTTATTAATTTTTTTCAGTGTAGCAATGAATATGATAATGGTATATAAAGAAATGAAAATAATGTATACATATGTAATTATGTTTTAATTATTATCTTATTATATTATTAAATCTTTTATATTTATACATATTGACACTTATCTTATAATATATGTAAATTATATTTTTATTATTGATTTGATGTCGTTATATTGTTGCAATGTAATTATATTATGTAATCTACATATTCTACATTTATTTTCATTTCTTTATATACACACACACATATATATATATATATATATATATATATATATATATATATCACTCTTTTATATGGAACTTGACGAAGTTAAGTTCAGAATAAATGTAACGCAAGTGTCAATTATATCAAATATTAAAAAAGCTAAATTCTACTATATGAACGTCATTTAGAAATTTTTAAGTTTTGATTCCTCACTTCTAAACGAGTAATAATTCTTAACATAGGTTTGAATTAGTTTTACACTCCTTTTAATTACTTTTACAAAGAGGTAGAGATAAACAGCATCAATAAGTTATCATCAAAGAGAAAAGTTGAGAGATCTTATGTCTTCTTATAATAAAAATAAGAAAAATATATATATGTACGTATATGTGAAAGAATGTATCAAATCTCTCTTTCTCATTCTTTTTACTGTTTCTTATTATTTTTATAGAAGGTATGTACTTACACAAAAAAGACGCGAAAGAATTCCTTCAGTTACATTAATCTCTGTTATATATCATTTAATATTTAATTCCAATTTAAATATATAATAAGTTATAAATTAAAAGGCCAACTTAACGAGCTGATTAATTAGGTGTTAACAATTTATTCTAAGTCATGAAAATAATACAAATGATAATTAGTAAACGTTTCGACTGTACGACAGTCTTTATCAATACAAATATCGCTTTGCTAACATATCCATAAATCAAATAATTTGGAAAGACCGAACTTATATCATACATGTAAAATATATAGACTTATAATATGAAAAACGCACTAAGCCAACAATTATAACACATTATAATTGTTGGCTTAGATCACGAAAGGAATTATTATAAAAGGTTGATATCGGAAATGATGTACATTAAAGAAGAAAAAAACAGTATCAACTTAAAAAAGGACACCGAGCGACTTGAGCGGTTCTTATTTTGATATTTTAGAAAAATTGTCTATGTCATCTTAGCATGACCGTATATACAGGGTGTCCGGTAACTAACGGACCAACGATCACAAATGGATTCTTTGGTCAATTTGGGAACGATTTTTCCTCAGCGAAAATGTCGAAAAAGATCATCATTTTTTACAACTTTCCAATATTTGTCATTATGTATCTTTATAACTAAGCCTCAAATTAAAATTTTATTATAATAAACTCTACCTGAAATTAACTGAAGAATGTAATTATGTTAGACTTTTAACTCCAAAACGTTTAGTTTTCAAAAAACCCATTTTTTTCAATCGCTTATAACTCGAAAATTATTGACTTCTCAACAATTTTGCTAAGGAAAAATCGTCTCCAAATTGGCCAGAGAATCCGCCCTTAATCATTGGTCCGTTAGTTATCGGACACCCTGTATACAGCGTCCTGACATTGTAATTCACATATATTGAGTGCTTCTTACAAAGTATACATTGTTTAAAATGTTTTTCAACAAGAAATATTTTAAAGAATTTTTATCGTCTCGACATAGATGTAAGTGATCACTATCTATTTAAAAATCAAATATCCAATATTCAGGCTAACACATTAATTATTTCACAGTTCATTACATATTATTATTAGATTATGGATTACAAAATTAGACGTTTATTTAAAAAGAACTACAGAAATCTGATGTGCGGGGTTAGGCTCTTTAACAACTAAATCGAACGATCAGCCGTAATTCAAGCCAACGATTATAATGTGTTATACTGCGTTTTTTATATTATAAGTCTATATATTTTACATGTATGATATAAGTTTGGTCTTTCCAAATTATTTGATTTATGGATATGTTAGCAAAGCGATATTTGTATTGATAAAGACTGCCGTACAGTCGAAACGTTTACTAATTATCATTTGTATTATTTTCATGACTTAGAATAAATTGTTAACACCTAATTAATCAGCTCGTTAAGTTGGCCTTTTAATTTATAACTTATTTTAATTTTACACGAGCCAAATTTTATTTCTCATTTTATATACTTAAATATATAATTTTATTTTTAAATTTACCCACATTATTATGTACAAAAAACATTATTAATGAAATTGCGTTTATTAATATTAGAGCTAGACACGTGGCAATAAAATATTAATAAATGTTATCCTTGATGATCGATTATATCAGTTTTTTTTTTTCATCGATATACGTATATTTCTTCGAAAGTTCAACGAAACTCCGAAGTACCCTATATTGCACCGTATCAGAGCGGTCTTGCCATATATGCTCGTATTAGCGACATGCGATAATTACTTTGCGCACCGAGGCCATCATTATTCAGACGCGAGAGATCCCTCGCGCCAATTATTTTCGAGACAGGTTTATATCTGGCGAGCGGGGAAATATGGTTTTCCGTATAGCGGTTCCGTGTTCGCGTGACAGTCAAGAAATAATGTTAATTGAAATAAAGCGGATATTACCTCCTCATGCGTGCACATGTTTGCCGCGGAGATGCAATTTGCGCGATTTTTGACTCAGCGCGACAAAATGATGGAGCACAAACGACGAGAAAATGCGATAACAAGATTGCGTGCTCGGATTTAAAGCACAAAATATTATATATAATAATGTTATTGTTTCTTTCGGAGTTTCTTAATAATTTGATACCGATTAGAGACGCCTTTGGAAAAATATATACCATATAATTGCCAAGTTGCAAAAATTGCATACTTTTTATTCTTAAAAATTTAATATAAATATAATTATTATTATAAATATAATAATTGATATTAATATAAATATATATTTATATAATATAATTACACAATGTTCTATATAATAATGTTGTTTCTTTCGGAGATTTCTTTGAATAATTTAATACCGATTAGAGACGCCTTTAAAAATAATATATATATATATATATATATATATATATATATATATATACACATATAATTGCCAAGTCGCAACAATTACATCCTAGCTAACTTCACTTGAATGCCACATTGTTTCCTCCTGAAGTGATTAGGTTGATGAGTGATGTTCATAAACTTATTTTGTATGATTTTTATGTAATATTCAGTGTCACGTGATTAATATTACATTTGAGAAAGATATGCAATTAAACTTTTTATTATAAAGCATTATTGAGATAATACTTGTTTACATTTTTGTTTGATTTAGTTGATTTATTGACTTTTCTCTGTACATATTTAATATACAGTAAATAAGTATACAATTTTGAATTTTTTCTTCCTATATTAAATAAAAGTCAACTCATTAGTATTTTTATATAAAATTAATTACTAGTTGCAAGTTGCATACTTACAAACAACTATGTATTTTCTTTACATCGATTGATACGTTATTTTGTGTAAAAGTATTGAGGTAAAATCATCGAATGTTACAAGATTTTATAGTTTGTGCAAAATTTTGTCACATTAAAATATCAAATATTTCTTAGATTATTCATTTTTATCCTTTCTATGTGTATAACATTTTATATCAAATATTGCAATGAATTGATTTATATTAAAAATTAGGACGGTTCCATTTAAAAAAATTAGATTGACTTTCAAATAATCTTGAAAAATAACTTTAATTAAAATTCAAGATTATCAACTATTTTCTAGTTTTTTTAACCGCTTGTATAAAATATTTTCTCGTTACAATTATAATTTTAGCAATATTCAACTACTATATTATTAATTAAAATAAGACACATGGTAATTACAATACTAAGTAAATTGGCGAAACTATGTGCAAAATTAAATAGTACGATTTAATTTAATTTTATAAAGCGTAATGTCTGGGACAGAGTTCTACAATTTAATGTGAGATGCCTGATTAAATTAAGAGAAATAGGATAGTATTGTTTGAATTAAATAAAAACAGAGATTCTCTCTCTCTCTCTCTCTCTCTCTGTAAATAAAAAAAGCTCCGAATAAAAAGAACTAAAATATATATATATGATTTGTAGTTTGCTTTGGAGATTTTATCTGCCTGTGCTTTGTGCATTTAACAGAACAGAAATTCATTTGACGTCTAAAGCAAATATTACATTACGTACATAGAATCAAAGCGTTTAATATATTTGCAGTGTCCATACAATGATATATCTAGAATGGTTTGATTACGATGGAAATGATCAATCAAACGTGTGCGTTAGCTTCAATGTTACGTGTGTAATATCGAAAATATTCTCTCGAAAGAAATGCTCTAAAATGTTTTTCCATCGATAATAAAGAACTATTGATTGCACAGTCTATGAAAGTATATATAAATAACTGGTTCGAATACTTCGCACGAAAAGAAAAGAACATTTTACATTGGACTTTGCAAACTTCAATCGTTGTATTACGCGAAACTTGCTGCAATATTGACATATCGGAAAAGCGGCAAGTTTGCCCCGATACACATAATAATAAGTCTTTCATTTATATCAGGAGGAAGAAGCAGTTATGATGAAATGCATCTAATTGTATAATAATTTGAAACCGTGCTTTGTTGTGGAAAAGGAAAGAATTATAATAGATTATTTATGTACTTTTTAAAAGAGAGAATGAGAATTAATGTCGTATTATTGCTCGAACGTCCTCTTTGTCACTTCTTTTTACGATTCTATTCATCTTACAGCAGTTTTATTCTCGTCTATCTTTCGTTTGCTCTTTCAATGAATATAATGCAAATATGTACGTCGAAGTCGATTTTGCCTCACGTTGGTTCATCTCTTGTGTTCTCTCTTGCGCACATGTCACGTAATAAATCAGAAATTCCGTATGGATGTATGTACATTGAAATTCTCAGTAATCGTTTACATGCATGCAAGCAAAACGGAATACAAATGAAAATTCATTTTTCATCGAAAACTTCAATTTCCAACTTTTTCGTTTGGTGCTGCTTCACATTATATGACTTGGAGAAATTTATATTAGATAGAATATTTATCTTCGACAAGAGTATACATTCAGTGTTGTTCTGAGATGATTTTTTAAAATTAGTTAGGAAAAAAATGAGATAAAAATATGTAAATTTATCTTAGATAAGATGAAGATGATCTTGTTTTAAATACATCTAGATAAAAGATAAAATTATATGGCGATATAGATGATTATCTATAAAATCATCATAGTTATAAAAAAATGTAAATTATAAAAGGGATATAAAAATATATGTATTTATATTTTTATTTATAAATTTTTATCGCTTACTGCTTAAGTTCTATTATTTAAATATTTTTATGTGCCATGATTCTAAATCAAAATTATCTGAAAATTCTAGATAATTTAGTAAAGATACTTTTTTCATCTAAGATGCAGATATAGATGATATATATTTTTTATTATCTATATTCTATATATATATAAAGATAAGATAATGCCAAAGTTAATTTTATCTAGATGATTATCTATATAATTTTATTTAGATAACAGCACTGGTATAAATATACAAATAATTGTGCCTGGTTTAATGTGATCTAACGTTGATTTTTGTTTTTTTTCAGTTCATAAAGGAAGTTAATCCTAAGATCTTGAATTACGAAGCGGCAGTGAAGGCTTCGTTCGGTATATCTCACGAACATTTTCAACCGATTACAGGTAAGTGGAATATAAATTTTTTTATATAATTAACGCATTATACAGATAAACGTAGAAAAACAGTAATTTACATAATAGTAATTTTAAATAATGATTATTTCAATTGTACTTTATTGTCATTTGACTTGTATATAAGATAATAGATAAAGATAATAGATAATAGATTTAAGTAAAAATGTTTATATTAATTAATTAAAAATTTATAATAATAAATTTATAATAATAAATTTATAATAATAAATTAAAAAATAAATTTCTATAATAATTTTATTGTTATATTATGCATTACTTTTATGATATAAATATAGCCATGATAATTTATAAATTAGGTATAAATATCTTAATTATTTACACGTGTAAGACGTACAAGATTGCTTAATTTTTCGCCCCCGTTTTTCGTTATTTTTCGTAGTCAAGAATGTGCAACTGACAGATTGAAACAAACCTGACAATGAAGTTTTTTATAAAATAAATTATAAAATAAAATATTAAAGAAGAATTATTTTAATATTACTTTGCATTTAAATGAAGCACTGAAAAATAATGTACCGAATAATAAAAAAATTTACTTGCAATTTAATAATAAATTCAAACGAAAGAATCCTTCAAATGCAATCGAGATTGTATTGTATTTAAAAAATTTAGAATGTACATATTTTATTTGCGTATTTTGTAAGAAATTATAAAAAAATTTAATCCGACAAAATAATCAAGCATGATCAGTTATTGATAAAACCGTCTTGCAATTAATACATTTTATTTACATTAAATATATATTAATGTAGCACACGTGCATCTTACTTACATGTCGATTTATGCTTATTGTATACAGTCCTAAAATAATTAAACCTGGAAATTATGTAATATGGTTAAATTCGAATCAATTTACTTTACTTCGAGTAAAGAGAGTAAAAGGGAAAGAGAGACTTCTATATTTTTATTATTATATATTTATTATTAAATCTATTATTTTGAAAAATATATAGATTTATAATCTTCGATACATAATAGAAGAACTTATATTTTATATTAAGTTTAAACTATAACTATTTCGATATAATCGCACAATTCGTAATCCACATCATATGTGTTCTTAAAATATTTCTCAGTTGATTTTTGATTTGAGGTATTTTTCAAAAATTTTGTATATTTTTTTATAATTCTTATTTATAATGAGAGAGTTATTTTTAATTAGTTACTTAAAATCATTAAAAATGAGCTATTTATATAATCAGCTACTTATTAATTATAAAACACAAAATATATAACTTAGAGATATTATCTATATAATCTTCGTTACGTAATAAAATTTATATTTAATTATATATTGAAAAAAATTATTAAATTAATAAATATTTATTTCAATACAGCCTAATCAATCATTGATTTGAAATAAATATATATTTATATATTTGTTTTGAAAAGGATTTTCTTATATTAAATAAGTATTTTTCACAACAAATCAATAGTATTAGTTTCAAACAAATGATTTATTAGGCAGTATTAAAATAAATATTTATTCAAATTAAATAAACTTTTTTGCAGTGTACTATTTAATTTAATAATGTGGAGGACACTAGAAAAGGCTAACTTAACGAGCTATAATACAGATGTTATATTATACAACAAACGTTATCATTTTATGCATATAGATCTTCCGACACAGCAAATTGTAGTCAATTTAAAGATATCGTGATAAGTCAAACGTCCCAAAATTAATTATAATCAATATTAGCCCAAAAACGGTAAAATATTTTATGTCAAATTTGAAATAGTGTAATAATAAGTAAAAACATTTTATTTGCTATATATGTTGAAAGTTATAACTTACTTATATAAAGGACTATCGTCTCTTCGATTCCTGAGGTTCGCTGTATCTATGATAACAATGACTAAATATTCTGTGTCAAGTTTATTTATATGGCTGTTTATCAGTTAATTCTTCTAGGACATCAAAATATGCCTCATCGAGAAGCTCTGTATCTTTTTTTAAATTTAAACCGTTTTTCTGCTCTTTTATGTGAATCATTTCTGAGACGATTCTTTTTTTATAATTACTTTCATGATCCAAAATTTTAACTTTATCCCAAGCGACTGAATGCTTCTTATTAACAATATGTTTTAAAAAATAGAATGTCTTGATAAGTCTAACTTTAGATTAATAATATGTTCTTTGATTCTGGAATTTAATTGCCTTTTTGTTTGTCCCATATAAGTAGCGTCGCAATTATTGCATTTAATTTTGTAAACAACATTAGAATTAACCGCGAATTTAGATTTTCTTATAGAGGAAGCAACTCTGTCCGAGAAAGTGTCTATATAGAGAATAACAAAAACATTCTTATCTTATCAACATCAATAGATATAGTGTTGTTCATTAGTTTATTATTATATATATATATATATATATATATATATATATCTATATATATATATATATATATATATATATATATATATATATATATATATATACGGTTATTAAGATTCTTAATGATATGGTTTTTAATTCTACGATTGATGGTATCAAAGATAAAATCTAAAAAATAATTATTGCTGATTAAAATATTAATAATTAATTTTTTTCGTGAAAATCTGGGTGTGATGACAATAAAGTTCTGTGTGTTAAATTGTAAATAACCCTTGTTTTATGACAATGCGGATGACTAGAATAATAAGATAAGATTCTTCCTGAGAAATTTTCTGAGACTAATCTATAAGAATGTTATTATTAATTATGTTAATGGAGATATCTAAAAAATTGATATAATGGTTTTCCTGGTGAACTTAAGTCTTTCATGGTATCCATTAAAAGATTCAAATATCCCATCTATATCCTTTTTTGGAGCTGCCACAATGATATGATCAACATATCTGTAATAAAGTTGTGCATTAACATGTAAAGAATCGAGGATTTTACTCTCCAAATCCTCCTCACTGAATCAGCTATTATTGATCATAATGGGAAACCCATAGGTGTACCGTAGGTTTGTTTATATATTATCCCATTAAAAGTAAAACAAGTAGACGAGAGAATAAATTCTATCCTTCTGATGAAATGTTTCTTGGAAATCTTAGTATGTGTTTTTATTAAATCCCATCTTGTGGTAATACTGTCTAAAGCCAGGCTAATCGGAATATTAGTAAAAAGTGAGACTACGTTAAGTGATATCATCCTGATAGCCCCTGGCAAACGCAACCCATTCAAATTGTTATATAATTCAAAACTGTTATTTACATGACTTTTTGGTGAAGGAACATTATGTAATAGAACTTTGTGAAAATGGTTAGCTAGATTATAGAGTGGTGTTAATCGAAGGCACTATAATTCTGAAAGGGATGTTCTATTTATATATTTTGGGGAGACCGTATGCTTTCGGAAGAATGGAATCACTTGAGTGCAAAAAATATTATTCTTTTTTAGAAATAAAATCATTTTTAACCAAAGCCTGAAAAAACCATTAAGATCTTTTTCAATTTTTGAGGTCGGATTTCTTTTGATAATAGAATACGTATTTTTATCATTAAGCAACTCAGTAACTTTATTAGTATAAGAAGTTTTATCCATGGCGACCGTGACATTATCCTTGTCTGCTCTCGTGAATAATATGTTGAGACTTTTTGGCAAAATTTAATCGTAGTATCATACATATCTATAATTATCCCTTTTTTTACATTTGTCCCATTATTTCGAAGAAAATGAGTAAACTGGGGTATAGCAATGTTCCTAATTGTTCTGAGATTATGTAAATTATTTCTTTTTGCATTAGCTTCTATATCCTTAATAAATTCGTCTATAGCTGTTTTTTTGTTTGTGGAAATTGGAAGATTAAAATTATTCCCTAATTGTAATAAGTTAAAAACATTCGAAGATATCATTACATTTGTTAAGTTTATAAACCATTTTTATTCGTGTTAGCCACAGGATCTATAACTGTATTTATAAAACTTTTTGGTTCAGTATGTATGCCTGTGTTTATTTGATTATTTTTTATTTTATAGTTATTATTTGCGAATTTTATGGGAAGAGACGTTTCTTTATTGAGAATGTATTATATTCTATAGATTTGATATTATTTATGTGTTCTTAAATATTTGTTCTTGAGTCATGTACATTTTTTACAATGAACTTTGTGTAGTCTATCTCTACAATTATCAAAAAAGATGTTTATTTAATTTAAACTCTAACTTTCATTAGAAATTTTGATACAATCGCACAATTTGTAATCTACATATGACGTTTTTTATTATCGGGAGAGGGAGGAGTATTTTAGAAACATTTATTACTTATTCTCATTTATAATGAGCTATTTATAATTATACTAATATGTGCTAAAATAAACGCGCGTTTAAAAATATTTATAACCATAAATATTTACACTAACAATAAGTGTTTTGGTTGTAACGGAAGCGCGTTATACGCGCTTGTAAACTTCGCCTATTGAGCCGTTTGATACGGTAACTGCGTTATATTGCACAAATTGTCGACTGCGTTAATGGATGGACGGCGATGTACAGTTTCCGCAACAGTGACCGGGCCAGTGTATTTTTCCATGCATTATGTATTACCCGATAATCATCGGGCATAATAATCGTTCCGCGATCTCATTGAAATCAATTGCAATTAAGATTGCAAATTATAATCGCGCGAAAACTATTCTGTCTTTATAACAAAAGTTAAAATTATATTTAATTTGAAACTTTAATAACAATATTTAAAATAAGCTAAAATGAAACTAGTTTACAGTCAGAAATTATTTTGAATCAGACAAAATATTTTTTATAGATTTTTGGGTTCTAAAAATGATGCTACAAAGCAAATTTCACTAGCACGTCAGATTTAAAAAATAATTGACGTTCAATGTATAAAAAAATGACTTTACGATATTTGAGATTTTTTTTAAAAGAAAGTTAATGTAAGTAATATATCGAAAATAAAATATACATTTTATGAGGGATAAACAATACATTCATGATATCTGATCAGGCTTTCTATATAAGTGTTGATCTTTTTTACAAAAGAATTTAAATATTGCAAAAGAAGCCATTTTTGCATATTAAATCTCAATTATTTCGGAAACCTGACGTATTAGTAAAAATTAGCTTGTGACATTGTTTTCAGCATCCAAAAATCTATAAAAAAACACTTTTTCTTGTTCCAAACAATAAACATTTTTTTTGTAAACTTGTGTAATATTTAATTTAAAAGCGAAAATTAAAATTGTAAATTTGATGCATCAAATTTAATAACTTCTGCTTAAAAACGTTTAGCATTTAAGTACACAAGTAATAACTTTTATGAAGTAAACTATTATATACAACTTCTACATTTTATCCTTGATGTTTTTTCGTAGTATCATTTAATCCGCAAATATTTATTATCTTTATCCGTAAATCCTACAATATTACGGCATCAACACATGGAACAGATAAAACTGTAATAAGAGAATTTACCGGCGCATATTTTGTATAGTGATATAAAAATTGTCAAAAAATGTTTTTCTCATTTTTAGTATCTTTTAGTTAATTAAATAACTATTAAGATATAAAAATTCTTCGCTACAAAATATAATTTTGCATGCTTTAAAAAAAATGTTAAACGCATAATTTGAAACTTGAAACTCGTCATTTTAGTTTATAAATCGTATCGTTGTTATATGATAACTTATCAAACATAAGCATTATTTTGCTACGCTTTACATTACTTTAGATAAACTTACTTTAATAAAATCTTACAATACATAAATTGTTAAAAAAATAAAGTAGAGAGATTCAAAGCATACAGAAAAAAGATCCGTTCTATCAAATTACATTTGGTGTAAATAAATAAGTAATAATTTCATCATACATTATTGTGACGAATTTTCCTGTTTAATGTGCAAACTCTCGATTCGGGAGAACAAATTTACATTGTAACACAATTCAATGGTAAATGCATATCGACAAATACACTTGTATTTAGTATGGAACGATGATTAGATGGATTTAAATTATTGATTATGTTCTGTTATAGATTGTATGTTTGTGACGTCGGAAAGTGGACCGTTTTCCTATATTTCGGCGTCCGACAGCGACAACGTTTGTGGAATATATTTATTAACTGATCCAGACCGCAAGATAGAGATACATTTCGACAGCTACGACGTTCCCTGCGATCATGATGGACTCTTGGCGGTATGTAATATATTGTTAATTATTATTATTAATATTTAATTGATCTCTTCTTGAGGTGTTACAAAGGCACTTGTTTGCAAGGAACGTATCTGAACTTTTAACAATATCTTCTTTAATTCCCCTTTAATCTAGCCATAAACGACCTTATTTTTTTTTTACATCTACATTCTTCTTTTTTCTCTTTCATCTCTCTTTCATCTCTCCTTCCTCATCTTCCTCCTTTCCCCTCTCTTTAACCCCCTTCTCCTCCTTTCATAATCCTTATCGAATAAACCTCTTAGACATATGTATATGGGGTATTTAGGATCGAATCGGATTTGAACCTGGGACCTTTCGCCTATTCAATCCGCGACTCTACGTGAGGCCACTCATGTCATCCCATATCGTCAGTTATTATTTTAAGTGTCAATTTTCAAGCTTGCAAATATTTTATGTGCATATACAGGGTGATCTACATATAACTCTTGACAGCTTGATATCTATTTCGGAAACTATTATATATCATCAATTTTAAATATTAAGATCTTGAATTGTATGGAGGATTTGAATGGATATTAATTTCCAAATCTCGGTTGCGTGAGTGAGATGTATAGATTAACTTCATTTAAAAACATTTCAAATAGGACACCCTATACAAAATTACAATTTTGGATTATGAAAGAAAACAACATATGATAGTTTTAATAGCCGAAAATTTCTTTTGTCAAATGTTTCTATGAAAAAATATGATAGTTTAAAGTTTTGACTATTGACTTTAAGCTAATTGAAGTTCTACGCAATCGCACGAAATCAACATCATTACATCCCAGGCAAGTGTACATAATTTTAACGTTGAATAATGTCATTGGACATCAAAATGACATCATTTTGACGTCTAATGACGTCAATTTACTACTTGGGACGCTATAACTTATTTAATTTATTAAATGTTGGAAATTTTCATCACGGACTTATAAACATATATTATCCAAATTAACAAAGTACTTCTAACATTTGATAGCATTTTGGAAGTCATTAAAGCGCAAGTGTTGCATATGCTTTGTTTAAGTTCATACTGAATATTATGAACATTTAATAAATTAAATAAGTCAGAGTGTAGAAAGAGAGAAAAAGAGAAAGAGGGAGAGAGAGAGAGAGAGAGTGTGTGTGTGTGTGTGTGTGTGTGTGTATATATGTGTGTGTGTGTGTTGTGATTTTTATTTCTGCAATCCCCGAGTGCTTCAAATAGCTATAAAACAAGTAATAGTATATAAAAGTTTATGAATTAGATGAATTGTTTAAAATGTAAAACAAAAACTAAATAAAATATAAATAACAACGATAAAATATGTAAAATATATCTAATCCAATATTTTTCTCCTCTTATAAATTTTTCTTTCATTTCAGTCACCGATTTACGAATTACATAAGCCATAAAATAATAATAATAATAATTTAGCAAATTCAAGATCTTTCCTTTATGACATTTGTAAGAATTTGATGGCTTATAACTTTGAAATAAACAGACTATAAGAGCCGAACGCGAATGTTGTGCGTTGAGACAGCGAACATTAATTCTTACAAATGTCACGAACGAAAGATCTTAAATTTGCTACATTATTATTATTATTTGATTATGCAAGATCTAGAGGAGACAATTTTTAACTACATGGACAAAAAATTTACATTTTATTATAGATATGTAAACAATATAATATTGACTGCCCCATCTAAAGACATTGACAGAATTGTGAATATGTTCAACGAATATCATGAAAGAATACAATTCACAGTCGAGCAAGAGAGAAATCGTAGCTTGAGTTTTTAGACCTCATAATTAAGATAATTAACAATACATTTTTTATAGACTAGCATAAAAAAAAGAAACGTGTTTGGGTAGAGTTGTTGGGTAGAGTGTGTCATATGTTTTCAGTCATCTCGAGGTTCATAAAATTGGAATAATTTACAATTTAACAGATGGATGTTTATTATTATTACATCCGCAATTTTATAATAAAAATATAGAATTAATAATTAATATATTATTGAGCAATAATTACCTTCTTGATTTTATTTTCAACAGAATTAACCATAGGATAAAATATCTCGTTTCCAATGATATTATGTTAAAAAACATGATAATAAGTTACGAAAAATGTAACATAATAGTAGGGTATCGCTGTTTAAATAAACTTAATAAAATCATAAGAACTCAAAAAGATGTTAACCAGCATTCAAAAATTCTAATGTCATTTTTAAATCTATTGTAACGATTGCGATGTATCATACGTGGGCCAAACGAAAGACAGACTAGAATAAATGAACATAAGAATAACATTAGATTAGATAGTAAAAAAACACTCAGTAATATCAGAACATAGAATAAAAGAAAAACATAATTTTAATTGGGAAAAGATTAAAATTTTAGATTGTGAGAACAATTATTATTATTACAAGAGACTGATTTCAGAAATGCTACATTAAAGAACAAAAAAAAACTGGTTAAATTCGAATAAAGATACAGAATTATTTAGTGATTCTTATATACTGATATACTAAAAAAATTAGCAACTTTAAAAAACCAAACAAATAAACATGACATACAGGTTGAGCAATAATAATAACAATCTTGTCATAATCTCTGACATATAAATACGTACATAATAATATGTTCACATTTTATCGTTGGACGCGAGATGGTTACAACAACATAACAGGTTATCGTAGGCTTATTAGGAATAGACACATATGTAAGTAATTTAATATCATTTTATAAATTATGTCATCCATAATATTAAAAGCATCATTTCCATTTAGAGGGTTCTTTTCAATTTCGAGAACTATGACATTTCCACGTTTTCAAACGATGGAATTAAAAAAAGGTTCTCTACATCTAAAAGCTGGGTCCACACTTGTGTCGTATCACTGTACTCGTATCGTGATCATGATACAGATGCACGGGTATGGTGATATGCCAAGGTTTTATTTATTCTGTATCCTGTATCTGCTTTTGTTTTCCATCTAAGACGTCCGTATCTTGACAATATTGACAATGTTTTCAGTGCAGTTAGCTGCTGCCAGCTATATTTTTGTAGACTGTATTTTGAAAAAAAGAAGGAAGACACGACGGCGACGTTGGTGGATGAAAAAAGTTTTCGTGAATCGCGAAATATACAGTGGCATAAGTTTATTGCGCGATGCTGCGACGTCAGATCGTGACAACGCGTCTACGCGTCAGTATCTGTATCATGTATCATTTCTTTGATGTTTCGGCAAAATACCGACTCCAAGTGGATCATGGTCGTATCTGTGTATCACCTTAATACAAAAATACGATACAAAGATCCGATACGGTTCCCGTCCTGCGTCCACACTTGGTCGATCGTGATACGCGATCGTGATCTGATATAGTGATACAACACAAGTGTGGACCCAGATTAAGATCATATTAAAAATTCCTAGAAATAATACGTCTACATAATTCGCAGATACAACTGTCCATTTTAGTTTGACATTTAATAAATTTATATTATTGTTTTAAACATTGAAGAAGACTGCGCGTACAGTCGAAACGTTTGTTTAACTTTGTTAATATCAACTTTGTTTATAATGTTTGAATGTAATTAAATTATTTAAACATTTTTAATTATTGTTTTATTTATGTAAATATCCTTTTAATGCTCGATAGTTGACACGTTAAGATTATTATTATTATTATTTTTATTATTTTATAGCTTATGTAATTCGTGAATCGGTAACTGAAAAGAGAAAAAAATATATAAGAGGAGAAAAATATTGGATTAAATATATTTTACATGTTTTATCATTTTTATTTCGAAGTTATAAGCCATAAAATTCTTACAAATGTTACAAACGAAAGATCTTGAATTTGCTCGGGAAAAGTAGTTTAAATGGAAAAGAAGATAGTGTATATCATCTCAGTGAGAGATGAAGAACTTGTTACTGCTGCTTGCTTCTCGTTTGATATACGCGACAATAGGCAAAATCCTTGAAAGCTATCTAGATGGAACAACGACGCGTATAAACGAATTGTCGAAGCGCATGTGCCAATTTTATGCAAAAATCGAATCACAAAGTTTTCTCACCCCGATTCACGCGCTTGTTCCCCCTTGTCGCTATTAATGGAAAATTCCTGTAGGGTAGTAAACTTGTGTAAATTCTACGGACGCGCAGTGCACGTCACGTGTCGCGCAGAAGTCAATGTTGTTGCGGAGAACAAGTGTCTAACAATACGAGGAGTGAATTTTCTCAACCCGTCCTTTTGTAATTTCTCCACGTGCGATTGCAACTGCAAATAATATATCGTACTTTAAACTTCAATTTTTCTTTTATTTTCGTGTTCAATTTTGCATCTTTTAAATAACACTTATATTTACAAAAAATTTTTTTTTACTATTTTAAACCAAACAGAGTACTTTGAACCAGACCTGTTTTTTATAGATTTTTGAATGTTGAAAACGATACTGTAAACCAATTTTCACCATGTCAGGTTCCCGAAATAAAATTGAAATTTAATATACAAAAAAATTTTTTGCGATATTTGAGATTTTTTGTAAAAAAACTTTCCAGCATTAATCTTTTCTTACAAAAAAATTTTAAATATTGCAAAATAATCATTTTTTACATATTAAACCTCAATTTTTTTTTAATTTGACATATTAGTAAAATTTCGTTTCCAGCACCCAAAAAATTTTTAAGAAACACTTTGTCCAGTTTAAAATAATTTTTGACTGAAAACTATAGTGTAATTGATGGAATTTATATAATGTATACTTTTCTCTTTCTCTCTCTCTCTCTCTCACTCTTTCATAAAAACATTTTTAATTAAATTTTTATAATCATATACAGAATGTTAAAAAAAGATTTACATATTTTGCGAGCAGGTATTAGTATTGATCAAAATGAGAAAAAAAGGTCTGATGAACATGAGTCCTACAATTAATATCTTCGAAGATACAGGCTTTCTATTTGAGCTTATTATCTTTTTCTTATTGATTGTATCACCTTTCTATTGTAGTAAACAGAAGAGTACTTACTAGTTTTGCTCTATAGTAATATTTTATAATAACATTACTGATGTAAGATGATATAATCAATATAAGAAAAGGGCAATAAGCTCAAACAAATAAATAGCCTGTATCTTCAAAGATATTAATTTGTAGGACCTATGTTTATTAGCATATTAGACATTTTTTTATTGATCAATACTATACCTATTAATATTTTTTCTTATTTGATCAATATATTACCTGATCTCAAAATATGTACTCTTTTTTTAACACCTTGTATATATGAGAAATAAATTTAATAAAGTACATAAGAGAGAGAAAGAGAACACGCGCTTCTACTTGAACAATTAAGCGATAGGAATTTAATATAAAAAACTTTATATAAAATGATTAAACTTTTAATTAACTTTCATTTGACAGGTAGTTGACGGGTGGGAATTAAACGGTGAATTATTTCCAAACGAGTGCGATCATTCGTTACCGATAAAGGACAGGGTGACGGAGTTCTGCGGTAAGAACAGGTGGTATCATAGCAAGAAGATCTTTACGAGTTCGCAGAACGCTGCGCTTATCCAGTATAGAGTACCTCAGCGTGGAAAAGGCTTTGTCGTATCCGTGAGATATCCAAAAAATCCGAGACGTAAGTATCGTGATGAGAATCAGTATCTTAGAAATAAGTTCGAATTTGTTTGCATAAAATTTCTTCGAACTCTCTAATGATTAATTTAAAAAAAGTACTTTTAAATGGACTCGAACCTAACATAACCTGAAGTTCGAACTTTCTGTAAATACTTCGACAAATCAGAGCAATACATTCGAAATATTTTTAAGCATATTCGAACCTATGTTATCAAATATATGTTCAAATCTTTTTGGGCACTTAGGAGAAATTTTATGTAAAGGTATAAGTATAAGTGAATGAATAGTGGAAACTATTTATACAGGGTGTTCTGTAACTCGCGCTCTACCTGTCAGGTGCAGGTAGAATAGGTCAAACTGAGTAAAAAAGTCCTTTATCATTTTGCGATTTTCTCCTCTTCTTCCCACGATTTCTTCTCACTCGCTGCTTAGCGACCACGTTAGGCCGATGGCAGAGAGCTAAACATAAGCACCGTAGCGTAGACGTAAAGTAAGACAGAGAAAAGACGTAACTACGTAATGCACTACGCGCTTATTCGCGACATGACTTACGTAGTTACGTCTTTTCTTTGTCTTACTTTACGTCTACGCTACGGCGCTTACGTTTAGCTCTCTGCCATCGGCCTAACGTGGTCGCTAAGCAGCGAGTGAGAAGAAATCGTGGGAAGAAGAGAAGAAAATCGCAAAATGATAAAGGACTTTTTTACTCAGTTTGACCTATTCTACCTGCACTTGACAGATAGAGCGCGAGTTACAGAACAACCTGTATAAATAGTTTCCACTATTCATTCACTTATACCTTTACATAATTTCTCCTGTGGGCTGTCCCTTCTCCCCGCGTGCTACCATTCGCGTGGATTGGCTAAAATTTATTAATTAATTTCTTCTTTATTATTGAGAAAATCGCAAAACAGTAAAGGACTTTTTTTACTCAGTTTGACCTGTTCTACCTGCACCTGAAGGATGGGGCGCGAGTTACAGAACATCCTGTATAAGTACTCATGTAAAGTACTTATAAGTATTTATATAAGTACTCAAGTATATACTTTACATGAGTACTTATATAAGTATTTTCCACTATTTATTCCACTTATCTCTAAGTACTCATATAAAGAACTTAAGTACTTATAAGTACTCATATGTAAAGCACTTAAGTACTTATAAGTACTCACTACTTTACATGAGTACTTGAAAATACTTATATAAAAATATATGTGTACACTATTTTTATTAATACAAATTTGCATATTTTCTTTTGATTTGCGATTGTTATTCAATTCTATTTATAAATAATCTCGATCTATTTATAAATAATTTTCAATAATCAATGAAATATTTGAATGTGATATTTTAAATCGAAGTAATAAACACGTCGGAAAATCAATCGCTGTTATCTATTTTCTGAATAGAAACGTGAAGTACCTATAATGCGTACATTAACATTGCAAATTCGTGACCATATCAACGTTTTAGCCCTATAATTCGATTATTCAGGCTTCACGCTTCATTTTAATCGAATAACACCTCGACGTAAGTAGAATCAGTTCTATAGATCAGGCTCTCCTGGTGTAGAACCATCTAATCTACGCTAATAAACCAGAGTGAGAGACAGAGAGAAACCTAAATTATAGCATAGATATGTCGGGACAGAAATATAAAAATGATATTAGGAAGTGGAGTAATATATAGAGTCTTTATCCTTTTCAAGTAAATACGAAGATATACACAGGGAAAAAATACCGTATTCGGTAAGCTCTATCTTACCACGGAATCTAATTTCTTTCCGCGAACAAACACTTAGGTGGAGAGACAAATGATCCAAAGTGACGACAATAATACATTGTCGAGGGGGAACGAGTGTCAGGATCCGATAAATAAAGAGGAAAAAAGCTCAAGCTAATTCTAACACTAAAGCGATTTTAGCATTTCACGTTTTTACGTCTCTTATTTTCTTTTTTCCTCTTCGCAGCCTGCAACGTCTTGTCGGTGAGCACAACAGATCCAGTCACGCTCCGCAATTACGGCCGAGGGATTAACTGCACCCTCCTAGCGGTATATCCTGGTACCGTGGAAGTGATTGCGCTCAATGTCGGCAGCACCAGCTCGTCGCATGGCCTTGCTCGTATGACCGAACCCGGCACTCTGCGCAAAGTAAGTTCTAACTTCGTTCCTCAGTGGTATAAGATGTATTGTAATTAGAGCTCCTATGGCCAGGAACGTGTTTTATAATATACGGATACACGTGTAGTCGTTCTACACGTTACAACTGACACGAGTACACGTGCATTCATGTATTTAAATCTATTTGCAATTTAAAAATTATTATTTTTTATATTTGAAGACCATACTGTTATTATAAAAAGAAACTTCAAAATTTTTAAGATTTTTTATGAAACAATGATAAATAACTTTATTATAATTTTGCTTAATTCTATTTTCGTTATTAAATATATCTATGGTGAATGTGATGTCATAAAATTAATGTAAAATTCAAATTTTTTTACTTATTTATTTATTAATTTTATTGTTTTATTTATTGATTTAGTGTTTTAGTAATTTATTTGTTCCTGTTTTCAAAACAGGTGTTTATACACGTAAATACTAATTACACGTGTAATTCATGCACCCCTGTATACGTGAAATCAATATATAAGGGGCTCTAATTGTGATATTTAATATACAAGGGCTATAATAATAAGCCTATATAATAAGGTTAGGTTAGATTAGGTTCAAAATATACAAACTTATTGAGTAGTTTTGTTTTAATAGTTGTTGTGGACAAGTTTGTGTTTATTGTTTGCAACCGTGGAAAAAGAGCAATATCGGTTAGTGATTTGATTCCTTTTTTTTGGATGGGAAGACGTGTAAGGAAATTAAAATATAATTGCATGCCGTTTATAAGGATCATGCACTTTCGATCGTTTACCATAAGATATTATGGTTCAATATCAGTCATCGCCGAAACAGAGGTCTATTTTGCGGAGACAATAAATCATATTTTTTTGAATAGCTTAAAAGAATTGGAATATCGCTGAACTAACAAGTGTATCGAGCAAAAAGAAAAAATATGTGGATAAATAAATAAAATAAATTAAAAAAAAAATGCGTTTCCCTTCTCTAACACGATGAATACTTATCTCATACAGCCTTCGCACTGTATTTATATTTTTGTAAATATATACAGGGTGAGTCTGATAAAAAATTTATCATATTTTTCTTGAAAACGCGATTAAAGATAGGGGAAGTCATCTATTAAAGCGATACTTTGTAATCCCACCCAGAAATGAATGGGTACGTTTTGGTAAGACACCGCTACCGTAGCGCTACAAAAAACTACAATACATATATAATACTTAAAAAGGCTTTTGACAGTATTGATCATGCGGTGTTAATTAATAAACTGCGTACGTTGGGGATAGATGGAACCATTTTGAAATGGATTTCGAGTTTCATCACGATCAGAGTTCAAGTTGTGAAGTTTGAGGGCTGTTTTTCAAGGGCCATAGACGTTGATTCGATATCATTTCTGGCTGGGGTTAGGTTCTCTATCGTTTATCGTTATCGATAGTATAATAACTTAATCTTTTTATTTTATTACAGTAATTAAAATGTTCATCATGTTTAAAAAATGCAGATATCTCCTGTAGTCTCCGAAGTTAGTCGCGGAAAGTTTGTACATTTTAATTTTTGTATATTATTTCGCAAAAGATATTTTTCGCAAGAAATATGATATAAAAAGATTAAAATATTTTTGACGAATAATCTTACAAAAGTTAGAAGCATCCCAAGTAACAAACCAAGAACACAACGCAGTTCAAATGAATCATTTTGACGTCATAATTATCTAAAAACTCACCTTTAAAAAAAGGTAAAAAAAGGCGACCAGTTAAGGGCACGCCATTAACAAAATTATATCCATTGCAAACCCATGTAGAATCCTATCCTATTGAAACCCATGTAGAATCCTATGAAAAATTAATCATTGCAAACCCATGTAGAATCCTAGGCAAATTAACCATTGCAAACCCATGTAGAATCGTACCCATTGCAAACCTATGTAGAATCCTATGAAAAATTAACCATTGCAAACTCATGTAGAATCCTATGAAAAATTAACCATTGCAAACCCATGTAGAATTGTATTAAAAATTATCCATTGCAAACTTATGTAGAATCCTACATTGCAAACCCATGTACAATAGAATTGTATGAAAAATTATCGATTATAACCCATGTACAATCGTAACAAAAGTAATGAAATAAAAAAAATTGCGCCAAGTGAAAGTAGAAACTTGTACCAGTGGAAAATTAAAGTTGCAGACATATATAGAGTCGTATAATGAATCAGTAAAAATTTAAATTTGCAAATGTAGAATCGTACCATAAAAAACTTATCTTTTAAAAAAAAAGATAAACAAGATGCCAAGTCCATGCGCCATGTGAAAAAGAAATAAAAAAATTTTAGTTAAAAAAACTGGGCGCGCTGCTAAGTTTCAAAATTACAATGCACCTTAAAGTAACATTAATTAATTTAAACACAAAACATATTTTAACTGTAATGAGTTTAAAAGTAACAATTTAATTTTAATATTGTTAGAATATTATTTAGCAGCGCTCCCAGTTTTTTTAACTAAAATTTTTTTATTTCTTTTTCACATGGCGCATGGACTTGGCATCTTGTTTATCTTTTTTTTTAAAGATAAGTTTTTTTATGGTACGATTCTACATTTGCAAATTTAAATTTTTACTGATTCATTATACGACTCTATATATGTCTGCAACTTTAATTTTCCACTGGTACAAGTTTCTACTTTCACTTGGCGCAATTTTTTTTTTATTTCATTACTTTTGTTACGATTGTACATGGGTTTATAATCGATAATTTTTCATACAATTCTATTGTACATGGGTTTGCAATGTAGGATTCTACATAAGTTTGCAATGGATAATTTTTAATACAATTCTACATGGGTTTGCAATGGTTAATTTTTCATAGGATTCTACATGAGTTTGCAATGGTTAATTTTTCATAGGATTCTACATAGGTTTGCAATGGGTACGATTCTACATGGGTTTGCAATGGTTAATTTTGCCTAGGATTCTACATGGGTTTGCAATGATTAATTTTTCATAGGATTCTACATGGGTTTGCAATAGGATAGGATTCTACATGGGTTTGCAATGGATAATTTTGTTAATGGCGTGCCCTTAACTGGTCGCCTTTTTTTACCTTTTTTAAAAGGTGAGTTTTTAGAGATTATATCATTCATTTTTGTATATTTTTATGACCGGAATAGAACAATTATTAAACATGTTTATCTAAACTTCTTTGCTTAAAATGATGTGTACAATCATATCCTAGAATCCTGATCATTCCTCCTAAAGCACCCTATTTATATAATTACCCATATGTGTGTGTGTGTGTGTGTGTGTGTGTGTGTGTGTGTGTGTGTTTGTGTACTAATGTCGAGCATTTTTATACATTTTCTATTAAATTTAGATAAAAGTTGCAGGATTTCGAAAAAGAAAAAGTTGACACAGACTTTTTCCTAAACGGCGATTTTCAAGGTTATTTAAAGGTCACTTATATTTTCAAAATAGAATTACCTTAATTTTTCTCATATAAATCGATTCCTCGCAATATTTACTATAAAAAGTTGTAAAGGTATAATTTTTGTACATAATCTTACATAAACTTCGAAATATTACAAATATTTTATTTTATGAAATATTTCAGTTTATGTAAAATTATGTTAACTATCTTTTAAATTATTCACTTTTAGCCATCTTACCCTTACAACCTTTTATAGTGAATATTGCAACAAATTGGTTTATATATATAATATATTATAACATCAGTTATTATTAATTGATGTTTACATTTATTTTTAGACTTACTAGAGCTCAAATGCTCCACATTTTTTGCAAAAACTGTTTATTCTACTACAGATTTCAAATATGCTTTTAAATGATGATTGAATATTTCCTTTTTTTAATTATTTTTTTATTATTTTTTCAATCTCAATCAACTTTTATAACTTTATGCCAGCACGATACAAATACATGTGTCTTTATTTTTTTTATTATTTTCATTATTATTTTTCAATCTCAATCAACTTCTATAACCTATGCCAGCAGGATACAATACATGTATGTCTTTATTATTGTATCAACTCTTGTCTTTTCCATGTAACCATGTCTTCATAGTTTGAATTATCCCTTCATCTTCTCAATCTTTCGCAGAGATTTAATTAATTAAATACACTTCACACGAAATAAAGTTTGCTGGAAGATATACAGCAAACGATAACTGTAAAAACATGATTACGTGGAAAGAACAAGAGTTGGTACAGTAAAGGCAAGTAAGTAAGTACATGTAATGTATCGTATTGGCATAACGCTATATCCGCGGAGCAGATAATGTGGCTGTAGAGGTAGTCTGCAGTGCAGCTAATGTGGACGTAGATGTTGATTGAGATAATTGTCTAATATAAAATAGAATTTAAAATTTAGTTTAAAAAGCTGTTGCATATATAAATAAAGTTTATTTTTTCTAAATTTGGAATATGTTTAATTAATTAATTTTTTAAGTCTATGTCTATGTTTAATAATTTTTTAAGTCTGTATTCAATAATTTTATTCATTTGATAAATACATGTATGTCTTTATTTTGATATGTTTAATATAATTAGAAATTCATTATTAATTAGATATGTAAACTATAAATTCATATATATAATATTTGAAAATATATGTGAATATTTAAATTTTTATCTTCTCCTTCCTCTCCTTCAATCTCTTTATATCAATATGTGTATGTGTGTACACGCGCGCACATTTGTACGTATTTATTTAATTATTGGATAGTTGAGAGTACTTATTGATAAAAAATTATGACAATAATAATCCTTGTTTTTTTTCTTATTATTTACTCAGATTTTTTTGTCTATCTTATAAGATAAACACTTTAGAGATTGAATATTTCAAGTAAACTAATTGTAAGTAAATTTCACATTAATGCATATAGATGTTTAATCATGAATGTACTAAATAAGTACACAAGACGAACAGTGAGTGAGTGAGTGAGAATGAGAGAGAGTGTGTGTGTGTGCGTGTGTGTGTGGAAAGAGAGAGAGAGAGAGAGAGAGAGAGAGAGAGAGAGAGAA